TTTAAATGGCTCTTTTTTTTCCTGCATTCCATCCTCAAAGATTTCCGAACACCAGGTGAATGCACAGACACTATATCTTTTCCCATGTGTAGATGAAAAATTAAATTGAATAGTTGGTTAAAAAAATCGATAAAACGGAAGACGTCTGTTGCATCGCCACTTTTTGCATTAGATCATATTTTCTAGAGCGACTTCTGTGGACCCTTAAAGCTCAGATTTACAGACTCTGTGTCTGAGAATACAAATGTCGAGCGTTTGATCAGGATTTACGTGATTGGACATATACACATTAAATGATCCCTCTGTCATGTTGCGCTGGTGATATTCCAGAGCCCATATTTGCAAGTCTTATATATCTGTAAATGTCACAGTGTCAAAATTAAGATATTTCCATATTTCCTCTATTCCCAGAGCGCTTGAACTTCATTTTCAGCTCATGACTGCTCACATTTGTCCGCTCGCCTGTTTGCTAATCTCATTTCAGCGTTTCAGGGCAGCCGGAGGGAGAATCTGAGCATCTGCAGCAAAGCGAGAGAGCGACAGCTGACCACAGGGGCAGAAGAAGCGGTTACTGTGGCTAACCGGCTCCAATGATGCTGCATGCACATTGAGCCTCACACATGCACCCTCTCACTCACCAGTACCTGCATTTCCATGGGGGAAATAACCATCAAATGCTAACATGTGTGTGTGTGTGAGAGAGAGAGAGAGAGAGCAGGAGAGAGCGACCTGTGGCTGCAAGTGACATTTATCAGGCAGATTCCCATTTCCAGCTTTCCCATCTAATTTAAAAAATAAGTTTGAACACAGTGTACGAATTAATACTTTAATATGTTCAAGGTTGAGTGGGAAAAATAGGTTAATATGAAATGTAGTTTGTATGTTTCGTATCGTTTCAGACGGAGAAATGTTTCGTGGTGCAGCATTGACGGTGTTCAGCCGATGACAGATGCTAACTAAAGACTTTAAATGAGTTCCCGTACAAAGATGATTTGAATTCAACCCACCCATAAAATTCTATTACTCAGAGGGATATTACACAGAATATTTCAGTTTTTAAATGTTTCTCTTTGCCCATTGAACGATCATGGTGCTCTGGATCTCTAACTACATAATGACCAGGTTGCCACGCCTCTCTTATGCTGACAGCTTCAATTAAGCTGCCCCCCCCCACTCACACACACTCACACATTTTAGCAGCAATCAAATGAAAACTTTGACAACCTGTGGAGAGAAGTCGGAACGGAACGATGCTTTTCACATGAATGCTTCTGATTGCTCGGCTCGTACTCACAGCTCCTGTTGCCAGAGAGCACATCGCCGGTCACCTGAGCGACACCTGACTGAATAATCGAGGCTGCTCAGGTGCAGGAGTCGGAACGCCAGCGGAGGCTCCTCTGCAGAGGTGACGCACACTCACAGAGACACGGAAATGCTCACGTCACGTGAACCGCTCGCTGTGACACTGTTGACATGTTTAAGTGCCATAATTCACCGGATTTGCTCAGTTCAGTGAGCTAACTCGATGATATCGCACTAAAATGAACAGAAACAGTGGCTTGTGCAGATTTACTCACACTAACAGAGACAAAAGCAGGACGTGCAAAGTTCTAACGGCGGATTTTCATCTCCAGACTTCCTTTTGCGAGAATGATCCCTTCTCCTTCCGCAGTCTTCGCTCACTAACAAGTAGTTTTAGCTGCCGGGACGTGTTCTGTCAGCTCGGCTCAGTAAACATTGGGCACAAAGGAGCAAATATCTTGCAGCTCTGCACGCAGTCACACGGGGTCAGAATATTAAGGTCACATTATGAGGGGATAAGAAGAAAAAAGGAGAGAGGGAGAGAGGGAGAGAGGGAGACATGGTGAGAGAGGGATTTGCTGTACTTTCTTCCAGGGGCTTGTGAACCATATGTTCAGCCCTGGGACACAATAAACAAGACGAGAGGCCCAGAGACACACCGACGCAACCACACATGGGAAGCAGGCTGTGTGCAGTGGTCAGGCATGTGGAGGAAGTGTGCCAATGCTTGTAAACTGTCCAGCAGCAGAAGCAAGGTGCCAAGTTGAGTTTAAAGCAACAATATGTTACTGTTTTACCTTAAAATAGCAGCTTCACAATGACGGATGAAAGAGGAGGAGTGTTCCCTCTGTCATAAGTAAGAGTCTACGGATTATCAGCTGACTTTCTCTGCCTGCAGAAACTAATGTGGGAACACGGCGTGGATTCTTCTTTTAACACGCAACACACGCAAATATGAAAAAAAGAAAACAATAAACTCCGGAGTCATACAAGTAGAAGACACCATCGAATGTGTCAAGAGAGTTTGTGTTGATAGGAGCTGACACCAGTGATCGCCGCAGTGGAGTTAATACTTCACTTCCTGCCTCTGTCTGCTGCTCCACGTCTCGCCTGAATGATGCGGAGGATTTGTTGCCGTTGTGAAAACATCTGTGCAGAAAACCTCCCGCTTTGTATGCGTGTGAAAATAAAAATGTTCTCAATTCTCTGGACTTTATGCGCAGGTCATGTCTGAAAACGGTTTAACTTTGGTGAGAGGTGTGGAACTGACATCCAATCATCTATCTTCTATTTATCTCCTCATGATGAATTAGACTTTGTGGCCAAAAGACAGACAGAGGTGTGAAGCTCGTCAAGAACCAACCTGGCACATCACAGAAATCATGTGCATGTACACAAGCCCGGCTATGCAGCAGATTTTAATTTTCAAAACTAAAAGTATGCCGAGCACATCCGGAAGATTCAGAGGTAAAGTGAAAAACAGAGTGAGCACTGAGGCAAAGGAACAATCCCCTGAGATCTGTGTAAAAAGGAGAGAGAGAGAGGTGGATGATGGAGAAGGCAGCACAGAAGGAGAGAGCGAGGGAGAGAGGAGGAGAGAGTTTGCCTCCAGCCTCGGCACAGAGGAGGATCAAAGGTTTGTGCTCTGCATCTCAATGGACATCCAGTCACCAATACTGATGAGCCGGGGCGTGTGACGCTCCATTCATAGTTTATATCTTACGGGTAAACAAGTGGTCAGTGCATGGACGTCAATGGCTCGTTGTCTTCCACTGCAGAATCAGGTGTCAAGAAATTCAAAGTTTGCAAAAAAAAAGGACAAAGTAAAATAAAAAAGAATAGAAGGACACTCCTGAAACATGACTACTGTAGAGTTGCATGGTTTAATGGATGTTGAAAGACTCTTTGTTACCTCCAACAAGGAAGTTAGGTTTTCATGAGTTTGTTTTTATGCAGGATTACACAAACACTACAGGGCGGATTATCACGGAACTCAGTGGAGGGATGGGACATGGTGAGGATCCGGATCAGGAACTGATCCAGGATTATTTTTTATCTCTCTTTCTAACATTGTGAGATAGTTTTCAGTCATTTTCATTAATTTGGAATGTTTGGAAGAACTGTGTGAAGACTGAAATGTAGTCCATTAAATGAGTCTAAATATAATAAATTGAATTAATTTTCACCCTAATTAATGTCTCACTAAAAATATATGTGGTGGTGAATAAAGTCACAGGCTCTGCCATTATGCACAATATGCCACACTGTTGTGTTTTGTATTTGATTATTTCGAGAAGTGCAATAATTTCTTTATTTCTTGACACTGACTTTATGATAAAGCGGCGACGCTGATGTTCATCTTTAAAATCCTGCCCCCGTCTGTGACGCACGTCTCGGGTCTTAAATGAAACTCGCTCCTCATATTGAATTCAGGGCGTTTACCGACATCACACAGTTAAACTCTGCAGTTTACGGCTGCAGCTGCGTTTCTGTGCACATTCTTGACAGTGTCTGTGCTACGTGACGCCAACCGACATTCAGTTTAAGCTGCTATAACAGTTTCGAAATACAACAGCATGAGAACCATTTATGGGAATGTTTACCTGAACTCTGGTTGCATCCTCCAACATGGCGGCGCTCGTATCGGGGCTATTGTGGCACAACGGGAGGAATTCGAGACACGTTATCCACTTTATATACGTTCTATACTTTGTGCCAATCAAATCCATAATCAACACTGTTTCAAAAGTCCACCACTCAACAAACTGCTTATAGGTTTTGCAACAAATCAAGACAATTACTTCATTTTATTTGTGCTTGAGATCAGAAATTTCATGTAAATGGGATTTGGAAAACAATATTTAAATAAAATAAATTCATACTCTGATTCAGGATCATTTTAAATTGTAGAGCAACATATTTTATTGATGCATGCTGTATTTCAGCCCTTTAGCATTGCCTGGTTGAAAGCAGCCAACTGCTTCTACGACCATCAGAGGATTTGTCCCAGATTATGTCCAGTCATTAAATGAATGCTCTTTATATGTGTAGAAATAAATGTGGTTGTGTTGAACAGTGAGATCAAAAAAAAAAAAAAAAAAAGGAAATCTGCAGTGCAACCTGTTCTACAAAGACAAGTCTCAGTTATGAATCTTTCATGTGGAAGATAAATCTAACTTGATCTGTCAACAGGGCTGCGTTACTTTACCTGGAAGAGAGAGCACACGCCGTTTTTTAATATGGGGTGTTTTCCACCTTTTTTTTTTATCAGATGACATCAGGAGGAAATCTGAAACGTCTTCCTATCAGTGGCGTCAACATTTTAAACCGACAAAGACAGACTTGGAATAAATGGATTCTTGAAACTGAAAAATAAAAGTGACAAATGCGTCTCTTCTGGATGTTTCCTACATGTCGGCATCCTTTTTTTTTTTTTCCTAAGCTGTATTCATGTTGAAAAAATATGAATAATTCCCCGAACACCCGCAGTAACGATTTAAGCATCACCTCTAATTATTGTGTGTTTGTCTACCGCAGATGGTTGTGTATCCTCCGATGACACTCGTGACCGCCGCTGGGATTCTGTACCTTTAACTTGAGAGCTTATTAATTGTCTGCAATTATCCTTTGTGAGTGTGGCATCTGTCATAAGTATCTCGTCTGTTCCCACACGGATAAAAACGCCATGGTACCAAAGGTTGACTGCAACATTCACCATTTATTGCACAGTTGGGCTTGTACAGTCCAATTTCTCCATCACAGGTATAAAACATGTTGAAACAACAGCTTGCATACAGGGAATGAATGAGGACAGCGTCTTATCTTGGTTCTAGAGATGATGAATAAACAACAACAAAAAAAAAAAGAGAAGACATTTGTAAACTAGCTTTGTGTTTTAAGTGTGCTGTTCTGTAACATTGGGGAATAATCCATAGATCCCTCGGTGCATTCCATGTCTTTAAAGTTTAGTGCAAATCTGACGAAACAAAACAGAAAGAGAAACAAACAAACCAAGGAAATCATAAGGCAACAATTATAAATATATCAAAAATAGTCATCAGAGAGCTATCTTCATTACAAAAAAGGTACAAAACTTTTGTCCTGCACCAGTGAGAGGGACATATTTTTCAGCTCCTCCGCTGATCTCACAGTTTTGTATCCCAGCTGGGGAAATATTTTCGGACACACGGTCTGTGTGTATTCCACCATGTCGTACGACAGTTTCAAGCGCCAGCTCTCCGCGTTCGCTGCCGAATCCCTCACTGTGCTGAACTTGTGTTTCGTCGAGGGCTCGTTGGCGCCCTGAGTGTTTGCCTGTATCCAATCTTCCACGTTTTTGTCGATCGACAGCCCCAGATAGTCGTAGATCTCCTTCGTCTTGGCCAGTGGGTTTCTAGCCAAATCTTCGTAGCGAACCAACATGTACTTGCCTTTGAGCCAAGAGGGATGGCTGAGACCAGTTGAAATGGAACTGATATAATCGTCACAGAGCACCGTGAACGGACTCAGGTCTAAATTATAGGGCCTTCTCCCTGTTGCCCTCCAAATGCGCCACAGACGATACGCATCCCTGAATGTCTCAATCCGTGACGACAGGATACCACGCGGGTCTCTGACGAGTTGAATGACTTTAATATTCAGCCGCGGGTCCTCCACCAAAGCTCGTAGATCTTCGATTTCTGGCACACGCACAATTTTGATCGCCACGTTCCGTTTCTTGCGGCACGCCTCTGTTGCTAAGGTCATGTTTAGAGAGCCACATTTCTTAATGCATTCCCCTTCCTCCACATTAACGGCAGCAGGACCAAAGGCATCACACACGGGTTGCTGGCACAATGCTTGGCTGACGCCGCGGCGGAACAGTTTATCCGTGGTGTGGTTTGCGGGCGTCGGTTTGATATAGCTCTCCAGGAAATAGAGATCGCAACTACATATGCTCCGCAAGAGGTCTCGACTGGCACCCAGCATCAAACGGCGCTCTGTGGCAAAGCGGGAGGTGGACAGACGCGGAAGCAGTGCGGTCTGAACGTGGTAAAGAGGCTCAAACAGGTAGAACACGTCCTGGTGCTGGTTGAGCAGCTGCCCAATGAAGGACGAGCCACTGCGAGTGGTGGCCAGGATCAGGATGTGTGTTTTACGTGTGGCATTTACGGACAAGTTAGGCAATTCATCGCAGCCTCCGCCTGCTGCCGCTGCCCGCTCAGAGGGAGGCTCTGTGTCTTGGCCGGCCAGGCCGCAGTTTTGGGGGTTGGGCAGCGGGCACAGCTGGAAAGGCTTGGAGGTGAGCGTCCGGATGGCCGTGTACTGGATGGCGATGGAGGTCAAAGCCAGCAAAATCACGGACTTCACGGAACAGTGCATGGCTGAACCTCTTCATTTAGACACAGCGGCCGTTGACAGTTCCTCCCTGTGAGAATAAAGACAAGGTTTTATGTTTGGAATCTCAGAAATTATTTCATTAGTTATTAGAATCACTTTTGGGGCGTTGTTGATATTTCTCTGCAAGTTATTACAGAGATGAAATACAACACGGTCGATCACTTACTGGCTTTAAAAGGAAAAATCACACATTACACAAGGTACTTCAGTTGTATTGGATTTACACTGTTTACCTGTGGATTTACGCTGTTTACCCATCAAACTCCAAAAAGTGTTTTTGTGGACTCATTCTCACTTCACCCCCCGCAGCATAGTGGTGAGAATTCAGAGTGAATTTTCTTTTTTCCGTGAATTATCCCTTTAAATGACGATTGATTATTAGACACTGCAATAAGATGCAGAAGGAAACTACAACACAATCTTACGATGCAGCCGATATTTCATTTAAAGGCTGTGATTTCATTCTTTGTGGAAATCAAGGATTAAAGATTAATCAGGAAATAAGAAGAGCAGTTGTTAATGTGCATTACTGTGGCCATGACACCGCTGTGACTCAATCAATTCATCTCCTGTTTCTCCTTCAGTGCAACAATCTTTGAAAATTAAAATGCAAAACGACAAGAAGTCACAAACAGCGAGGAAGCACAGAACCGACTGTATATGGTAGATGGCATTGATTAGTTTTTAACCAGTGCTTTAATGGCTTTTACCTGGCATTAAAACATTCCAGTTATATATATACACAAGTTCAACATGCACCAAAAGTTACCATGTAATAATTATTAGGGACACAAATACTTCAAGTACACGATACGAGGCTATACTGCAGTACAGCCCATATTCACTTTCACTCTCCGTCTTCTCCATCACGTCTGCATCTAATTCAAGGACCTTGTTAAGTCCTGATTGGTGAATCTCAGCACCGAGCTGTGTTCTCACTTGTTCATCAGGAAAAACAAAAAGTCGCCTCACACGCCAGCACAGGAAGGTTAACAGGAGTTTAAAGCTTCAATGCCAATGTCACGTCAAGGATAAATGAGGCTGCAGGCAAAGATGATTAATCACTTAGAAATTACATCCAAATTAGGATTTTAAAATAATGATAATTCTGCAGGATTAAAAAAAAAAGGTTTTATGGTGTGTGTGTGTGTGTGTGTGTGTGTGTGTGAGCATGAGACTTGTACCGTCCAAGAAAGAGAAATGAAGTGAACAACGTGCAGAATAAGAAATGAGAATGTTACATGAACTAATTCCTGCAGAATAAAGCTGGAGTGTGACTGCAGAGAGTCTCCAGCATTTCGTTTGCGATGCAGCTGACTGTGTTGACGTTTCACTTCATACTCCGACCGACATGAAACACTGACTTCTGTCTGCGGCCGCGACACAAGCGACTCGATTCTTTCAAACAGCATCACTGCGGAGGGAACAGGTTCTAAAGGCTTCTCTCTCTCTCTCTCTCCCGTGATGCAGACAATCCGAAACCAGCGCTGCGATAACACAACATGAAACAAACGGCACCAACGCATCCCACCCGAGCTGCAAGTGTCCAAAACAGCAATGCACGAAATAAAGCTGCAGAAATCCTCAAGAAACATCAAAATGACGGAAACAAAATCACACTTGTTCCCGTTGTTATACCTTGTCGGTAGTTGTAGTATCCTCATAACGCGCAGTTCGTCCAGGAATCAGACGCTTTCCAACCGTGCGCTCCTGCTTCTAATTCTCGGGTAAGGGAATAAAACGCAACGCGCCGGGGCAGAGCTGTGTTTCCCCCCCCACCCTCCCAACCCCGTGCAACGGAGCCGGGAGCCGGTTTAAGTTGCACGGATTGTTCCGGAGGTGCAGGAGAACACAGCGGTGGTGTTGTTGTTGCTCTACAGCCGGGAAGTGGGAGACTGAGCCGGGGAACAGCGACGAGCAGCTTCTCCCCTCGAATGATGCGCAGAGGCTGCGAGAGAGTGAGGTTCACAAGGAGCGACTGTCTGGACCACCCCAGTCCCCTCCCCCTTTCACCTGCCCCTCTCCCCCCTCTCTCTCACTCACACTCACACACACACACACTCACACACACACTCACACACACACTCACTTCCATCTTTGTGAGGCATCCTTCACTCCCTAGCCCCTAACCTTAAAGGGATAGTTGAAAGGAAAATTTAAATTCACTCATTACCCACTCACCACTGTGCCGATGGAGGGGCTGCGTGAAGTGTTCGAGTCCACAAAACACTTTGAGTTTCAGGGGTAAACAGTGTTGAAGCAGAATCCAATACAACTGAAGTGAGTAACTGGTGACCACGTCTTCATATTTACATTAGCATGACTCCATACTGCTGCTGTGGTGTCGTCCAAGTGTCCGCAAGCCCAAGACAATCAAATTCAACTCATAACGACGTCATTTACACCATGTTTGTAGTCTAAAGGTCCACCGTTATCCTCCTGGGGGCCATGTTCACACAAGCTCTTGCTCAAGGGCACGTACAGGGTGCGTGTTAGCACCTATACGTCTGGTTGTGGACCTTTGGCTTACAAAACGTGCAGATGACAGAGCAGTAACGTGAATACAAATGAATGAACTAATAAAATAAAAGGTGAAAAGAAAACAACATCACATGAAAGTTTATAAAAAAATTGGTTTTCAGAAGTGATTTGAAAAAGACTGACTGCCTTGTCTCCTCAGGTATGGGCCGCTCCAAAGCACAGGGGCCCTGGTGGCTCGGTCACCTTTAGATTTCTACCAGCAGAGCTCCACCTGAGGATCCAGGGCTGCACGCAGACGCATAAGGGGCCAATGACTCTGTGATGTAGTTTGTGGCCAGATGCTTTAAAAGTGATCGGTAAAATCTTGACGAGCGAGAAGCTGCTGCATTCTGAACTAGTCAGAGGCGGGAGAGTCACTTTTGGCTTAAGCCAGAGAGGACGGAGTTAAATTACTGCACTCGTTACCCCTGAGACTCTAAAAGTGTTTCGTGGACTCAAACACTTCACCCACCCTTCCATCGGCATAGTGGTGAGTAGACTAACTATCCCCTTCAACCATTCAAACTAAAATGCCAATCCTAATTCTAACCCTCAACACTCAAACTGGACCAACCAAAATGTCCTCCCTCTGTAGGATCTATGCTTTAAAATGTCCGTCACAAAGATACAGAACAGGAACACACACAGTCATTCGAGCTCTTCTCATCAGATTCCCCCGACCTCCCCTTCAGGTGCCTACAAAAGTTTGAATCCTTTGCACGTGTGATTTGACGGCGCTGCACATGTGAAGGTTTGATTCAACACGCTTTCACCCACACGACACAGTCACGCTCACTCTCAGTCACTTCAGAAGTAACATTTCCGCACAGTCACACTCGTTCCGTTGAAAGTTGGTTTGAAGTTTCTCTTTGTTCTGAGTTACCTTTTCAGGAGTTCTACTTCCTGGTCCAGCCAAAAAGCTGAGGTGAGGGCGGAGCCTGGTTTTATACAGAGGCCCAAGAAGGTGGACCAAACCAAGAGCTCTGACATCACGGGGGGGGATTAGAGTATCTCTGCTTAGGGATTCAGTTTCTGTTCACGTAGTTCTCCCCTGTGTGAGTTTATTGGTTCGGTCAGTTAGTATATATGTGTTGCCCTTGTGGAAGGTCTGTTAATTGAGTGGACATCCTGTTGAGTTACTTTCAGTTGCTTTGTTTTTAAAGGGCCCTATAACTGTATTTTATATTGTTGAAACTATTATGATTGAAATAAAACCCCCACCTTTTTATTTTTTGTTATTTCAATTTTGCATTTTGACAGTTTGACAGCATGAAGCTCCCTGCAGCTTTTTTGTCAGCTCACTTTTCTTCCATCTCATCCGGAGGCCGACCGTCTGATCCTGCTCGGGAAAAGAGAAGGTGTCCCGGCTTTAAGGGCTTTTTTCCTTTTTGATGTCTTCTCTCGCATAAACGTGAAGCTGCAACATCAACGTGTCGTCCTGGGCACTGTGATTGTGAAAAGCCCTGTCTCCAGGGCATCACCAACCCAGATCAGTCCCTTTTAAACCACTTTAAACTCGATAAAGCTGCACCAAAGTGCACGCACTCAATAGAGCTCATGTTTGTTTTTTTGTTTTTTTAATTCAAGATCCATGAATTATTCCCTGCAGGGAAATCCACACACGTGTCAAAAATGACAAATCTTGCAAATGTTTAAGAAAGAGAAATGTTATGCGTTCTTTTTTTGGTCCTTCCGCTGCGTTTCATGCTAATCTGTTCCGTATGTTTTGTGTAATCCTCCTGACAATCTCACCAACCAGCCAACAGACAGGAATATAACCTGCTCAGTGGAGGCAGAGGTGAGGGATCCACAGAGCAGCAGCTTCACATTCTCAATAATACAACAAGATGTTTTTAAGGAGCAGAAGTGTAAAGTGACTTAAAAAGGACAATATTGGATTTAACAGTTTGCATGTTACTCTTGAAATGACTTCTTGTCCTCTCTGATAACGTCCCAGACTATGACCTGGATACTAATGTTCCCTTGTGAAGCTCGAATACACCAGCACGTCTGCCCCAGCAGGACTTTCGGTGCCTCTCTCTGTGAGCGTGTTTACAGTCACATTTATTTGCCCTCTCCTGGAAGCTCTGTACAGTTGCCCGGGAATTGTCTTAACCTTGCCCATGAAAGGCCCTTGGGTGAGTTTATTGCGGAGCCGCAGGGAGGCCGGTGAAGCAGCAGCTATACAGCCCTGATTCCCCCGGGCGTCGACGTCCATGAATCCAGCTTGTGGAGGCCTTGTCGAGGGACACACTCCCACACTGTGGCGGCGCATCTGCTGCGGCGCGATAGCCCTTCAGTGCATTATCACGCACGAGTATTCTTCTTGACCACGCTATAAAAGGATTTGTAATAGATTCATAATATGCCAGGCTAAGTGTGTGTGTGTGTGTGTGTGTAGCTGGCTTTGTTCTTCTCTCCGTCCTCTTTAAGTCAGTATACACATGAAGACAGCTGAGATTTTGTGTTTGGCGTTTTTTTTATTCGCAACTCGCAACTCGCAGTTCAAGGACTTCAAGGGACGGTGCTGTTCAATTTAGAAAGTGAAA